ATATACACACACAAAAAAGAGACGAAAGCGCGCGCATGCACTCCTTCACCCACACAGAGACGCAAATGCACACACTCGCACCGGCATTCCATATTTTAGAAGACAATTGACATTTGCTGCGACGCGTGTCGCCTCAAATTACTACCCCACTTGGCTTGAATGCCTGACTGCTGAAGTGACGATTAGCGGATGAGTGTGTGGGGGTCAGCTGGTAGCGCTACACCGCGCTCCTTCCGCGCTGTCAATTGCCAAGTTTGTCGGCGTTTGTGCGGCGAAGCATGTGCAAACACTTTAATCCCTGAAGGTTGCAGTGACAGCAGTTAAAGAAGTAGGTTTTTGTGTTTGGGTAGTCGACTAGTGCTATGTCTGTGTGTGTGTGTTTTTTTTTTTTCGATGTGGACGGACGCATATATATGTACTGATTCTTGGGTGCAGCAAGAGTAGGATAGAGGCACTGCTAGCGCTACACTGACTAACTAATACTAAGGCTATAACGGTACATAAAGTTAATTAGACGTCCGTTAGTCGCACGAACGAACCTATCTATCACGAAACATATGAACGCGTCGTTGAAGGCAGTGGTGAAAATGTATAAGATGATGTGTAGAAATATAAAAGTGCATGAATTTAAATCTATTCTTCATTATTTTAGTTTCCTCATTGTGAAATTTTAAAAGCCTAAAAGGGAAGAAAATGGAGTTAAGACTCCATCATTGAGGCTATACAAAAAATTGACTTGAGGGAAACTACAAGACTCGATACCTGCCGATGTTGCGACTGAGGTCTCATATACAGCTTGATGCTAAGGGTCTGCATTTCGTTCCGCTTCATTCCATATCATTCCCTTTGATTCAATTTTGTTCCGGCCACCGTTCCACACGTCTTCGTTTCGGTTTAGTTATTTTTTGGAACGAAAAATCTGAAATCAGAAAGTTTCGTTTCGTTTCGTTTCACTCTATTTATTTTTTTATTAATTATTTCATTTTGGTTGAGAAGTTTGAGTAGAGCTTATATATTTAGAACTGTCCCTTTTAACGTCACTTGTTTCATTCGGTTTGTTCCTTCGTATGGTCCAAATCTATTTATTTGTGGTTCATCCTTTTTATTTGGAGCAAAATGGCTTAGGAGTGAATTCTTTTAAATATTGAACTTAACCTCAAAATCAGCCATTTTTCATTTCATTTTGTTTGGTTTCATTTTATTTAAATTTTATTATTTTTTTTAAGGGGCTTATACGAACTTATTAATTAAAAACTTGTCCTTTCAATTTCGTTTTATTTTATTTTACAGCGTTTCTTTACTGCAAATCGGTCTTTTATTCCATTTCATTCTGTTCGGATTTATGTAATCATTTTAACAGCAACGAAATTTCTTATAAGCCGACTTCAAAAAAGGAGGAGGTTATCAATTCGTCAGAATAGTTGTTTTCCTTTCGTTTCATGCCGCATCGTTTCACATCTTTGCGGTCCATACGGTACTTACAAAGTCGTACCATTTCGTTTGAGCAGTTGTGTTTAATTTTACTTCGTTTCATTTCGCATCGTTCCATTACGTTTTATTTATTTTCATTCTTTTTCGTTTAATTTAGGTTCACATTACCATTTACTCCATTTTAACTTATGGTTTTGTTCCATTTCTTACTTTTGCCTTACAGTATTATTTTCTATTTAATTTCGTTTCAGCCAGTTACTGTATAAATCAATCTACTTATTCAAGTTATGTCTTTTCATATTGTTGCGTCTTACTTCAATCCATTTCATAGCTGTTCCATTTCTTATTATTTAGTAAACTTTGTTTTTAATTCGACGAAATTCCATCCACATATGTATGCACTTATTATTTCCTTCAGTTCCATTATCACCACATTGTTCTCCACAGCGTTACTTTCCGCCCTCTTCATTCCACCTCACGTGTCTGGAAGATTAGTGTCCGTCATGAGAACAAGCTGTCCAATGGGGCGAGTGAGGGTTGTACACACAATTGCTTCGCTGGCTTCTTAACGAGGTGTGAGATACTTGTTATTACAATTTTGTATTCAATGGCAGCGGGGTGGACAGTTGCGTTAGGGGTTTACTGGTCACTGCTCACTCGTTAAGTCGTACTAATGAAGTGGAAGTACCAGATTGCAATCTAAATACACATTCCCGAGCGCTTGGGAAGAATTCTTGTGATTGAGCGCTATACATATGTACATTTGTAAGTTAATATTCTTTAGGGTATATGCGTGTACATGTTTGCAAGTCTCTGTAGTTACATATGCCGTGTATTGCGTCCAGTATCGTGCACTGAGGCGCTTAAACATATACAGCTTTAGATAAATGGTCATGCAACTTAGATGCGGAATGTTGTTTTACTTTTTTTCATATTTTTTCATTACTGCTATTGTTGTTGTGTGACAGTTGCTCTTATTGTAATTGCCATTTACTTGCGTTAAGCAAAGCAACGAACTAATCTCTCGTCTTTATTGTCTGCACTAACGTATGTGAGGTAAGTATTTGTAGGTAGTACGACACTTATTTTCCTACATTTCTCGTTATTTTTATTCTGATTAGTGTTGTCTGTCTTATTAATCACCACAAAGCTATGATTAATCTACTGTGAGTAATAAAAATGAAAAAATAGCGCAATCATAGTAAAAATAAATGTTCTAAATAAAGTAGCAAAGATAGAACTTACACGTAAATTATATAGGCGTGCAAATGGTGGTTCTGAATTAGATTTCTTGTGGCATGTAAGCTTTACAGATGTAGATATGTATTAATATGTGGCAGTAATAATAGTACTTCTTTAATTTTCAGGCTAGACCTCTTTTATACACAAAATGAGGCTTAAGAAAGCCAAATACTTTCTATATGCAACTTACGATGGCAGTGGTGTACACAAAATTTATGTGCAAAAGAAATTGTATTATGCAGCTATCTAAAACTTTAAATCAATTTTCATGAACACTATTTTAAGCATACACAAATATGTATATCGTATTGCTTAAATCATTATCAACTAGGCTTAAAAGCACATGTTATATGATTCCGTGGCGATATACGCGGATCAAATACTGCATCAATCTTCACTTGGCAAACTGCAAATGCATGAATTTAAATTTAGCTAACAAAAGAAAACTCTCAAATTTGTGACTTACGATTCTCTTGCAGATATAAAGCGCGATCATACAGTATAATGCTCTCTATAAGCGGTGCAAACATCAAACGAAGCGTATAAAAAATAACGATACGTCGCCAATGACGTAAATAATTTTGTGTTGTGGCAGTTTGCAGCGCAGTACGCTCTAAATGAACAGCTTCTAAGCCTTGTACTGCTTTGTAGTAATAACTATATGCAAACAAATTTTAAATTGCAGTTTAAAAAAAAGTTTAACGAAACCCATAACTACGTACTCTTCGAATTCCATACCAGGCACATGCTTGACGCTACGTAGTCCACTATGTTTCAAATGCAACCAATGCTTGACGATTATATGCTCAGCAGCCGCACGAAATGAGTGCACTTTCAAATGCTCATAATCGCCTTTAGCTAGCCGATCGCAATACATTTCCATAGCATGACAGGATATTTCTCGCGCCTCATAGCTCATGTGTGCCAGCTTGGGTTGCTGTAACAAGTATCGGCTGAGGGGATATCCCTGCAGCTCCACCTTAGAATGCATCTCCGTGGTACTCAATTTCATATAACAACAGCTGGCGAAATTCAGAAACCGCGCCTGGGGACTATTTATGAACATACGCATCAAAATTACCGCTAAATCGCCACATGGATGGAGACCGATTATGCCAAAAGTAAAGTTGGTGTCTTCCCTCTGCACCGCCTCAGCAATTAGATTGAGAAACTGTTGTGGTTGTATTTCAGCCGTCAGGCATAACGTTACATGCTCCGGACGCCGAAAAGTTGCGCGTTTTACAGCAGGCAAGTGCTTTTCAGCGAACAGCTCAAATTGTTTGTCTATGCAACGAGCTTGTACATTTAGTTCTGGCCGCATCTCTAAGCAACATACACGCCTACCGAAGCCATAACCGAGTATGCGTGCGAGATGCCCTAAACCAGCGCCGAAGTCTATAATGTAGTCAACGGGTGTTTGCTGATAACTATATTCGCAATGCGATGCCATCAACTCTATTTCATGGCGCTTCTTGGGCTTAACACACTTATTAAATACATGTTTCAGCTTTGTATGACTAAGTAGTGGACTGCGACAAGCGCTCTGGAGTTTAAAGAAAAGCATGAGAGTAATTCAGGTATTTTGGTATAATTTTGATTGCATTACCAGTGTCGCAGTATTGCTTTGCTGACTTCTGTCCACGCACACCTCTCGTAATTTGCAGCGTAAGGCTAATAACGCCAATGGCCATACATTGGCATGCTGCTGTTCAGCTATTTCATTGAAATTCAATAGCGTACTAAGTTCTTCGGGTTTCACATGATCCAAATGTTTCTGCCAACTGCGCGGCAGCTTTTCCCAATGGTTGTCTACATAGAAATCCTAAGTATGTATTGGAAGTGTTAAGACGGACGGTCTTCAGGGCGTTTATAGTTTCCACTTACCAAAATGTATGCATTTATAAGCCAATCATATTGACGCACGATTTGCAAACAATCGTACAATTTTTCTTGCAAATATTCTGATGATGTTGAGCTATCCATGTGAATGCTTTTTATGGAGTTGCATATAATAAGTCTTCTTCACTTTACATTTCCCTACCAAAACTTAAATATATATTCTTTTTTATCATATTTTTTAATTGAGTGCACAGTTAAAGCGGTAATTTTATTTATTTGTACAATCGGACCAACGCAGCAAGCAAAAATCTACAAATGCATGTAAACATAAATCAGCTGATGACGACGTTACCTATTTCTGTGTGGCCACTTTCTGAAAATTTAACAACTAATCGCAACAACTAATTTTTTAACATTTCCTCCCCTTTTGAAATTAACTTTCATTATATTATTTTTTGTGTATTTCAAAAAAAAAGAACTCTTAAATTGACTCTTTTTGATGAAAAACATCCCTTATTTGCAAATCGATAACCAAAAAGTGGCAACATCTGGCGCATGCCAGAGAAAGTAAAGTATTACGTTCAGTGTTGCCGTTGTTCGCTTAAGGTACAAAAGGACGCTTTTTAAGCGCCAGTACCCTTTGATCCGACTTTTTGAAAATTTGGATTTTTNATCCGACTTTTTGAAAATTTGGATTTTTTGACCCTTTACCAAAATTATGTGCGACTTTTGCCCCTTTTCAGAGATTTTTTAGGAAATGTGAACAGAACAGAACCAGAAAAAAATTTCCTCCTGTAAGTACGAAAAAATGCATCACTTAACATTTTTAAGGGAAATGTAACTCTTCTCGATTTATGTGTATGTTTGCAACCTTGTTTTATGAAAAGCAAGGTCCCGCTATTTTATTTTTAAATTCAATAGATTTATTCTATTACTAGTAAAGAAAGGCAAAGAAGAGTGCACAGTTAAAGCGGTAATTTTATTTATTTGTACAATCGGACCAACGCAGCAAACAAAAATCAACAAATGCATGTAAACATAAGTCAGCTGATGACGACGTTCAACGTTCGCAACAACTACTTTTGCTTGACTTTTTAACATTTCTCGCACTTTTGAAATCAACTTTCCTTATTTTATTATTTTTGGATTTCAAAAAAACTCTTAAATAGCCTCTTTTTGATGAAAANAGGTCCCGCTATTTTATTTTTAAATTCAATAGATTTATTCTATTACTAGTAAAGAAAGGCAAAGAAGAGTGCACAGTTAAAGCGGTAATTTTATTTATTTGTACAATCGGACCAACGCAGCAAACAAAAATCAACAAATGCATGTAAACATAAGTCAGCTGATGACGACGTTACCTATTTCTGTGTGGCCACTTTTGATTAATAAAAAAATCGCAACAACTACTTTTGCTTGACTTTTTAACATTTCTCGCACTTTTGAAATCAACTTTCCTTATTTTATTATTTTTGGATTTCAAAAAAACTCTTAAATAGCCTCTTTTTGATGAAAAACACCCCTTATTTGCGGATCGATAATCAAGCAGTGGCAACAATCTTGCGCATGCCAGAGAACGTAAAGTATTACGTTCAGTTCTGCCGTTTTCGACTAAAGAGACAAATTAAACCTTTTTAAGCGCCCACACCCTTTGACACGATTGTTTGAAAATTTGGATTTTTTTACCCTTTACCATAATTATGTGCGACTTTTCCCCTTTTCAGAGATTTTTAGGAAATGTTAACAGAACAGAACCAGACAAATATTTCCTCCTGTAAGTATGAAAAAATGCGTCACTTAAAAATTTTAAGGGAAATGTAACTCTTTTCGATGTATGTGTATGTTTGCAACCTGTTTTGTGAAAAGCTTGTCCCGCTATTTTACTTTTAAATTCAACAGATTTATTCTTTTACTTGTAATAAAAAGCAAAGAAAATGTGGTACCATTTTTCGCCAAAGGCCCTTTTTTTTACGATTTTCTGAAAAATAAACGGCAACACTGATTACGTTCTCTGCGCATGCTTTTTTCCTCAGATTTATTTCCTTTTTTGTTGTGCTTGCTCATTTTGTCATTTGACGAGACAAGTTGCCAAGTGGCTACCGTGAACGGCATGTTTTTGCAAAGAGGAAATAAGAAGAAGAATGTTATTTAATTGTAGCTTTCGTTCATTTCCTTTACAATTGAAGAGTATTTTTTTAAATAAACCAGTTTTAAATTGCTTTTATCTGCAAAAACAATGTTCATATGTAAACCAGTGAAGGGGCAAGCAAAATAGTGCCGATTAACACTGTTGAACGAGCGCCGCAACTAGCTTTTATAATATTCGCTGTAAATGTTTGTGAGTAAACTATTTTTCTTCCACTAGAGCTGGCATGCGTGAAATCAGGTAATTGGAGCACAAAGTTCAATAACAACATACAAAATAATTAAAAATATTAGATTAGAAATTACATTTACGTATGTATATATGTATAAAGTTGTTTGTACTATAGATTACACGCGCATGTACATTGATAATCCAAATATATTGTGAGATTCCAGCAAGTAACAAGTATTCAATAGTAAGCACTGCGCACAAATACAAAAAAAGATAAGTAAAATCATTAAAAATATGTACATTTTGTCTATTCCAGCTAGCTGGCGTAACACAAATTATTGCTACTGAATGGGTAACTTCGCTCCGGGTATGCTGTGTGATTCAGTACTCTTGCGGAGCTCAACCCTCACGGTTTAGATTTTATAACTGAACAAATTCAACTTTTTACATTATTTTCACAATTAAGTGCGAGTAAAGTGCAGTATAATAACGAGCGCGGAAATGCCAGCGAATCAAGTAAATCCAGATCTACAAAAGGAACGTGATAAGGCATCCTTTAATACGCAAGAATTCACCGACTGGTGGGTTGGTGGCAAGGACAAGTATGCGGCTAAAAAGAAATTGGGTAAGTTCAATCGGAAACATGGTACGTTTTAAGACATACATTGTATTCATATGTATGTATATCCACTTATGAACATGCATTATGCAATTCTGCGCTGTTAACCAGTTTTATATCGCTAAAATGAAAGCTTGTCAACACGCTCGCGTGTGCAAATATTTTACATAGCGCTTATATGCGTTTATGCTTATACATATGTATACACGCGTAGTTACATACACATTTTGTTTACTTCCACATCATCTTTATTGTTTGTAAGGGTAAATATTGCCCACTGGGAGTTAATATTTACTTTGTTCATTTAACTAGTGGCGCACTGACCCGCACAACCATTGTTAGCAGGTTTTGGAGTGTTTTCTTGTATTTATTCTGCATTTAAACTAATACACAGTGGCGTATACTTAACTAATTGGACGTACACTAATAAAACTGCTAAATAGAAATATTGCTATAGTATGTATGTCCATTAGACTGCATCACTCCCCATAAAAAAAATCGGTACTGTTTTTCCACTGGAATTATAAAATCTATTATATTTTAAGACTTTCACCAAAATATCTCGCAAAAATATTAAGATTTACGTGAGCTGGACCGATTCGAAAATACATACATCCAAAAATTGGGTTTTTTATTAATAACAACAGTTAAATATTTTTTGAAAAATTTGTCTCAGATGGCTAAACAGTTCAAGGTTAAAAAATTGCATAAAAAATATTAAAAAAAAAAATTTTACAGAATCATAAAAATGACATTTTTGATGTTGTTTTTGAATTTTTGGTTTAATTTAGACCTATCATTGGTAATTTATTTTCTCACTCTTTAAATTTCTTTGCGAATAAGCTCATTCATGGTATGAAAGAGGAAGGTAAGATAAACGAGTGCCATTCCATGTCGAATTAAGATGACGTGAGTGAGTAAAAAGGCTGAGAAAATACCTTTCCACTGATACCTCATAAGTCTATATCGGAAAATACAGAAATTTTTGAATAAAGTTAAAAAAACAGCATCAAAAATCTCATTACAGTGAAACCTCCCTTGGGCGGACACTCACCGTCAGTCATTTTTTGCCCGCCCAAGAGAGGTGTCCGCTTAATGGAGGGGAAGCCTATTTTAGAACTTTTTAATGTTTTAATTAATTGAATAGTCACTATTTCTTATTTGAATAAAAGATATTCATATTACATCGTTCAAACAAAAATGTGCATGTATTTTTTCAAAAGTGCACATTTCATTTATGTGCGTAAGTACATATTAAGTAATAACAAAATAATAATAAATATTACATTTTAGTCCATAAACTACATAAAATCATAGCTTCATTACATAAAAAACTGGGAAATTGTCGATTGACGTAAATATTTTTCAGTGTCAGTACCTTTTTCATCAATAGTTTTCATGTTTTTATCAGTCTCCAAGGGTTTCTGACAATTCAAATAACGAACCTAAACCACTGCGCAAACCAAACTAAATGTGTGCATAACAATCACATTTTGTGCGGGAAGTCCCCTTTTTCCATTTAGTAGTCCGCCTATGAGGAGTTCGCGTCCGCTCAACGGAGGTTTTTGTTTGATTTGTTATGAAAAGAAATCTTAATGTCCGTTGATAAGAGGTTCGCGTCCGCCCAATAGAGTTTTTGTGTCAATTTTATGCAAAATAACTGTCCGCGTCCGGCCAAGAGAGTGTCCGCTTAAGAGAGAGTAATTTGTTCCGAAATTTATACTTAAAACTTGGTATAGGAAAAAATGTCCGCCCAAGGGAGGTGTCCGTCTAATAGAGGTGTCCGTTAGGAGAGGTTTCACTGTATTTTTATTCCGGTGACACAAATTTTCATTATTTTTAAGCTTAAACTGTTTTGTCATCTGAGGGGATTTGTTCCAAAAAATGCTATAAGAAACTATTTTTATTCATAAAAAACTCCAGCTCACGTAAATCTTAATATTCTTCCGTAATATTTTGGTAGAAGTCTTAAAATATACTAGATTTTGTAATCCCGCCGGAAAAACCGCAACTTTTTTTGGTGATGCAGTCTAATGTCCATACATACATACATATGTTGTGCATACAATGTATGCCATACATATACATATCTATTTGCATTATTCGAATATTGTTTTACATACATACCCATGTACATATTTAGAAGTAGCAAAGTTAATGAAATATTAAACTTGCATTCATTAAAAAACAAAAAGCCTGGACTTTGCCCCAAAGGCGAGTCAGTTAGTTAAATATTAACTTTATGGCTCAACTTATTTGCTGACTAAGCGCATAATGCTATAAGCTTTTATGAAGCAACATTTTGTAGGTATCTAATGCACATCTGAAATATTTATGACGGTTGTAGTTAATGCTGCAGCAATATTACAATTGCCCTCTATAACTTTGAATTACACTATCCTATCAACGTTCCTTGACCCTGTACATACATGTAATTTTGGGTCGTTACGGTAGTTGAAAAGAAACAAAAAACAGAATAATAAATGTAAATGAACTGGTCTTTATTTGTTTTATTAATTTCCACACACATATGTATGTATGTATGTATATTTTATATTAT